AGCAGGGAGCCCGATGCGGGGCTCGATCCCAGGACTCTGGGATCATGACCTGAGCTGAAGGCAGACACTTAACGACTGAGCCACCCAGGCGCCCCTGTGAGCCCATTTCTTAAAATCAATCTCCAGATCCCCTTGGTTCTGTTTCTCTGGAGATCCCTGAGTAACACAGTTTCTGCCTGCTTTGTGCTCCTACACCCTTTCTACATTCCCATTGTTGCCTGTCTTATATAATATGCAGTCGTACACAAGTCACTAGGATGTACGCAGCTCATGTCCACTGAGGGTTGGGACATCTCATCTGTGCATCTTCGTGGAGCCTAGTGCCTCTGAAAGGTCCCACGCCACCCAGAAAGGAGGTGCCCCGAAGCAGAGGCAGGAGAACTAGGGAAATGGAGGTCTTGAACCAGGTCAGAGGAGAGAAAACCAACCCAGAAAGGAAACACACATACCAGGGGTTATGAACTCAGATGCCTCGGTGCCAGCCAGGTCATGTGGATGAAGGAAGGCAGCCAGATAAGCAGACACAGGGTGGGATGTGCTGAACTGGAGGGGTGACCCAACCCAATATTTCCCTACAGGAATGCAGGCCCCCAGCAGCAGCGCCAGGTTTTTCAGGAGAAGCTGGATATCTAGGTGTGCACGTGAAATGTTACCTGTTTAACTGTTGGCAGCTCATCTCTATTATTTCTAGGCACTGAGTGTGACTAGAAGGCTTCAGGGCTATCGGTACTGTTCTAGTTGTTAAACTAGGTTGATGGGTACACGAGGTTTGTTGCCTCATGGATAGGTTGTAAATACCCTTGTATAGGTAATCCGAATTCAAACTGCAAACCTTTTACGTGAATTGCAGCAGACTACCCATTTGCATCCTCTACTGTATATCAGTTTTGTAAAACTTGCCAATGAAGGCTTGCAGCTAGCTCTACACCTTCACTTGAATAATAATTACATTAGTTAAGTGTCACTGTGCGCTGAAAATAGAAAACGGCAGCAATGCTGTTTCTTCCACAAGAATTGTTCTCTGAAAAGAAAAATGTTGCAGCTCACCAGCTGCCACCCACTCTTTCCTCTCTGGAATGTCTTGGAATTTATCATATGTTACCTTTCGTACAACTTGATCTTGAACGTCAGAATATTCATTATTCTGAAAAAAAAAAAAAAAGAGAGAATATTCATTATTCTGCCCAAATCAAACTCTGACTTCAAACATACACATGTTCCTCTTTGTGATTTTGATGAAGTCTCTATGTGTGGGTAATAGGGCATAATTTATACTCAGCGCCTAAGAGAGAAAGCTACATACTGGCACCATGGAAATAGAGCTGTCTTTGGTTCCAAAATTGTTCAACCTCTATTTTGAATGAAGCAACCATGACTCACTTGCAGTCTGGAACAGTTACTTCACCGTTCTGTGTTTCAGTTTCCTCGTTGATAAAATAAGGGTAATGAGAGCCATCCCCTAAGTATTGCGAACGGGTAATAGGACATTATTTTATCTGGGTGAAGGGAGAAAACTACAGAGAGGGGAAATAGCAAATCAAATTATTATTTTAGTCATTCAGAAGATGTTCACTGAGGGGCACTGAGTGGCTCAGTTGGTTAAGTATCCGACTCTTGACTTCGGCTCAGGTCATGATCTCAGTGTCTGTGAGATCGACCCCTGCATCCGGCTCCATGCTTAACATGTAGTCTGCTTCTCTCCCTCTCCCTCTTCTTCTGCCCCTCCCCCAACTTACACGTGCACATGCTTGCTCTCTACCTCTCAGATAAATCTTAAAAAAAAGATGTTTAGTGAATACCATGCTAAGGGCTGGGTATGGGGGGAGGGGACACATAAGTTTAAAACATGGCCTCTGCCATTACAGAACTGGGGAGATATGACATACACACAAAAAGATCATTAACCCAACATGGGTTATATGTAGTAAATATGTAGTAAATACGAGGCAATATGTAGTAAATCTAGACTATGAGACTGTGAGCTCCTCGACTGCAGGGCCTGCATTCTGTCCATCTTAGTAAATGTGGAGTAAACGAATGAGTGGTACCAAAAGTGAAGTAGCTCTTCTAAGGAGGAAGATATGGTAGGCTAGAAAGTTCTGGAAGCCTTTAAATTTGGAACTTGAGTCAAACCTGGAGATATGGATAGAAGTCAGACAATCAGAGAGGAGGGGAAAGGCTGTTTTTGGCTGTGGGAATGAGAGAGAAGACACCTAGTATGTGGATACATAGGGGCTAAGGGGTAGGAATGGCCAAGGAGCTTTTGGAAGCAGTGAGTTTGGGAAACAGTGGCTGGAGAGGACGGTTCATTTATTCATTCAGGAAAACCCACAATGCAGAGATACAGTGGTGAATGAGCAAGACACCAGTCCTTGATGTCATGGGACTGCCTGTCTGTTGACCATGGTGTTTAAATATATGTTTAGAAAAGTAGTGGAATGGGGTGCCTGGGTGGCTCAGTCGGTTAAGCATCTGCCTTCAGCTCAGGTCATGATCTCAGGGTCCTGGGATCAAGCCCCACATCAGGCTCCACCCTTAGTGGTGAGTCTGCTTCTTCCTCTTCTTCTGTGATCTCTCTCACTTTCGCTGTCTCTCTCTCAAATAAAGTCTTTAAAAAGAAAAAAAGAAAAGAAAAGTAGTGGAAGATAAAAAGGTAGGTGGAAAAGATCTACTGGGACCGATCATGGAGAATGAAGCATTTGGACTTTATTTTGTAAGCACTGAGGAGCAACTAAAGATTTCTTAGCAGGGGAGTGACAAGAGGAAACGCTATATTTGGGATATAAATCTGTCCTTGCTGCTGTCTTAGCTCGGGCTACTATATCAGAATACCATGGACTGGAGAGCTTATAAACAACAGGCATTTATTTCTCACAGTATTGGGAGGCTGGAAATCTAAGATGAAGATGCTGGCCGATTTGCTGTCTAGTGAGAGCCCACTTCCTGGTTCCTAGATGAGCCCACTTCCTGGTTCCATGTGGGGACATGGTGGAAGGGGAAAGAGTGTTATCTGGGCCTCTATTATAAGGACACTGACACAGTTCATGAGAGCGCCTCCCTCAGGACCTACTTACCTCCTCCAAATACCATCACATTGGGGATTAGGCTTCAACATATGAATTTGGTGGGGCGGGGGGGCACAAATATTTAATCTATAACAGTTATGTTCAGTTATGGGTTGGGGCACAAAGAAACTGAGGCTGGGCAGCTAGATGTCAACCGTCTCTGGACCAAACTGTAGTAGGACTAGGAAGGAAGGAGAATGTAAGGTGGGGACATCACCCAGGGAGAACCGACAAGACGAAGTATTGATTAGACATGAACACAAAGAACACTCAGGTTTTGAGCCTCAATTGTTTGTTATAATAATAATTTGTTCAGTTCTATATAAGCAAGATCGGGCCTTACACTTTAAAAAAAATTCTTGGAGCAGAAACATGGCTTAAACCAATGGTTTGATTCTCTCTTCTCACCGAAGGATCTCTAGGTTCCTCCCAAATGCGTCACGGGACATACTTTTCCAGTTACCTGGGTAGGGAACATCATACTCTATTTGGAATATAGACCACTGTGTAATAAATCTTGTCTTGTCTTCCTCGAAGAGTCAGTGCAAAATGAGGCAGCTTGTCATGTGAGTCAAGTCCTTTAAGCTTCTCAGATGAATGTTGCTATATTAGGACCAAGGACTGTTATGCAACAAGTCCCGGCTATACCTTTCCTTGATGCTTGTACTTCACGGTGAAGACCACCTGTTAAACTAACAGGTGTTATTTTATTTTTGTAAAATGATCACATTCAAGGGTGAATTCTTGGCTAGTCTCACGGAATCTCAGTTTTGGTATTAGTCATCTGGGGATGTGGAAAGAATGTTCTAGAAAATGAACCAGCAGTAATTTTGATGAAAAGAATGGATGGAAATGTTTTTCCATGATACACTATGACCTGTGTAGAGCTAGAATAATGCTAGGATTTCAACTGGTTCATAACTGACAGTCCCTCAGAAGCTGTGTGAAGGAGATAAGCAAGGAACAACCTTCCCCACCTCCCCAGGCCAGAGCAGGTGCTCTGTCTTGTGCTCCCACAGCCTGTTTTACATCCCTTACTACACTCTGATGGAAGGCATGTGCTCCATGTCCCTCTTCCCATAAAACTGTGAACCCTTGGAGGCAACCATATTTTATTCCTTTTCAGATCACTAGTACCTGGAACATAGTAGGTCCTCAATAGACATTGCCTGGATGGACAGATGGGTGGATGAAATAAGTAGTTGCCCTTATTTGGCATGAAATACAGGGCAGGCCAGGAGAGCACTATTATTTTTTTTAACTTTAAAATAAAACCACATTGAAATTAAAAACTTTGCTCTGCCAAAGACCCTATGAAAGACTGAGAGAAAATATTTGCAAATCACACATCTAACAAAGGGCTTGTATCTAAAATATATGAAGAACTTTCAAAACTCAACAATGGTAATGTTCCAATTAGAAAATGGGCAAAAGATGGGCACCTGGGTGGCTCGGTTGGTTAAGCGACTGCCTTCGCCTCAGGTCATGATCCCGGAGTCCCGGGATCGAGTCCCGCATCAGGCTCCCTGCTCCACAGGGAGTCTGCTTCTCCCTCTGCTCCTCCCCCTGCTTGTGTTCTCTCTCTCTCTCAAACAAATAAATAAATAATCTTAAAAAAAAAAGAAAATGGGCAAAAGATATCAACAGATATTTCACTGAAGAGGATATACAGATGGCCAATGAACACATGAAAAAATTTCAATTGATATCATCAGTCATTAGAGAGATACAAATTAAAACCACAATGAGAAAGCACCACACACCTGCCACAATGGCCAAAATAAAAAATACCAATAATACCAAATGCTGGAGAGGATGTAGAGGCACTGGATCTCTCATACAGTGCTGGTGGGAATGTGAAATTGTATAGCCACTCTGGCAAACGGTTGGGCAGGTCCTTTTATTTATTTATTTATTTTTTAAAGGTTTTATTTATTTATTTGAGAGAGAGAGAGAGCACAAGCGGGGGAGGGGGTGGGTGTGCAGAGGGAGAAGCAGACTCTCCACTGAGCTGGGAGCCTGACGCAGGGCTCCATCCCAGGACCCTGAGATCATGACCTGAGCCAAAGGCAGATGCTTAACTGACTGAGCCACCCAGGCGCCCCTGGGCAAGTCCTTTTAAAACTAAAAATGGATTAACCTTATGACCCAGCACTTGCACTCAGGCATTTATCCTAGAGAAATGAAAATTTATTTTCTCGTGTAAACTTCTACACAAACGTTCTTGGCAGCTTTATTTGTAATAGCCAAAGATTGAAAGCTATCCAAAATGTCCTACAGTGGGTAACTGACTAAACTATGGCACATCCATACCATGGAATAGGACTCAACAATAAAAAGGAATGAGGGGCACCAGAGCATGTGACTCTTGATCTCAGAGTTGTGAGCTCAAGCCCCATATTGGGCATAGAGATTACTTAAAAAAATTTTTTTTAATTAAAAAAAGGGAACAGTTTAAAAAAATAAAAAGGAATGAACAATTGTTATGCACTGAACATTTGTGACCCCCCAAAGTTCATGTGTTGAAGCCTTAACTCCCAATGTGATGGTATTTGGAGATGGGGGGGCCCTTGGGAGGTCATTAGGTTTAGAGGAGGTTATGAGGGTGGGGCCCTGAAGATGGGATCGGTGCCCTTGTAAGAAGAGACACCAGGGGTGCCTGCCTGGCTCAGTCAGTACAGCACACCACTCTTGAGTTCACGTTCTGTGTTGGGTGTAGCGATTACTAAAAAATAAATAAGTAAACTTGTTTTAAAAAGCTAATCTTGGGGCACCTGAGTGGCTCAGTTGGTTAAGAGTCCAACTCTTGAGGGGCGTCTGGGTGGCTCAGTCGTTAAGCGTCTGCCTTCAAGGGGCGCCTGGTTGGCTCAGTTGGTTAAGTGACTGCCTTCGGCTCAGGTCATGATCCTGGAGTCCCGGGATCGAGTCCCGCATCGGGCTCCCCGCT